GCAGTCGCGTTGAGATTCAACGTACCAGGAACTCGCTAGAGTCGGATCTGGATGCTGCTAACAGCCAGGTTAACATTGTCCGTGCTGAGTTGGAAACACAAATCCTTCGCCTCCAGAGTCAAATGGACAACGTCAGAATGGAAAGTGACACTGCCCGGGAGCGCTACGAGATGCTGTTGGAAGAAGCCAATGAAACCAGGGCCAACAATCTGGCTGCTGCTGTCCAAGCTAAGGAACTGGCGGTGGAAGAACAACGGCAGACGCACGAACGGGTGCTCAATGACCTTCGAGAACGCCACGCGCGTGCGCTGCACAATGCTTCTGAAGATCGACAGCGCACGGAATCCCATCTGCTCGACCGCCTGGCTTTGTCCGATGACAAGGTGAAGCACTTGGATGATCGGGTTCATCATCTCGAGGAGAGGCTCGAAATTGCACAGTCCGCTGCCCGTGCTGCTGCCGAGGCCGCTCAATCTGCCAAGGCAGCGCCTGCTATGGCACCTGCGCACTCGAACTCACCTTCATTGGCATTCCGTGAGGGATCCACCATGCCTGAGAAGATCTCGCCTCAAGCCTTGAGGGAGTCAATCTTGGTACTTCAGGATCAGTTGCAGCAGCGTGAAACTCGCATCGAAGAGCTGGAACAAGAAGTGGCTGCCGTTGACAAGGACGCTCCAAACAAGATCAAAGACAAGGACACAGAAATCAATTGGCTGCGTGAACTCCTGGGTGTTCGCATTGATGACCTCCAGGACATCATCACCACTGTGTCGCAACCTTCCTTCGACCGCAATGCTGTCCGCGATGCCGCTATCCGTCTGAAGGCCAATTTGCAGATGCAGCAACAGGAGAGAGAAAGAATCCATTCCGGACACAGTTTTCCTAGCCTCTCCTCCTTGGCAGAGTTGACTGCGTCACCGCGGAATCTTCCTCTCGCAGCTGCAGCGGCATGGGGCAACTGGCGTAAGGGAAGAGATACTTCCAATTCACATGTTTCCGAACAGACGCCGTCGAAGTCCGGAAATGCAAGCTCCTTCTTGTCAGGCCTCTTGACTCCTCCGGCCTCTAGTGTTCGACAGGCTTCACCCCAGGCCGTTGGTACTTCCGCGACGATGGGTTCCAGGCGTCCATCGGCGAGTCGGCCTCTAAGGAATTACGACACGACGCCCAAGGCCGCTCCAGCTCGTGGAAGCAGGATGCGAGAGCCGCCGAGTACGCCCCCGTTGCTCCGTAGGTCAAGCTACGATCACGATGCGGAGCCTGCTGATTATGCCCACGACTCCTTTGGAGAGGACGCGGAAAGCACAGCGGACGGTTTAGTCTCGGAATCCCCACGGGACACGGCAGACGGGCCATTTGGACCGCAAATACAAGCATAAACTGTCTATACACCATTTTCTCATTCATGTCCATAGACATTTGAATTTTCGGTTGTCTCAATACGGAGATGACTGATACTGTTACATTATGATGCATTTCCCCCTCTTCTACCTACATCGACCTCTCTTTTGATATTGCATACTTCGTGCCAGTTGACATGTTCATTTGCTGATTGTTTGGTTTGAGCAAGTTCATTCCCCCTCCCCATACTTTTGCTCAACGGCAGTGGATTTATGATATTCTTTCCTTCGTTAATATACCATACCACCATTCTTCCTGCGTCCTACTGGATACCACCACCTGTTGAAATGTACTTTTGCCGCAAATCTGTACACAAGTTTCTGCATTTTTTGCTACTTTATTTTTTTTTATTTCCTGTCTAAATAATTCCAACGTGTCACTCTTTTGTGGTTCCTTGCATGCATCCGCAGACTCTATTATCTCATAATGGTGTCTCTGTGTGTGGATTCCCTTCTGGGAGATAGATGCATGCACCATTTGCAGGAGGACCCAGACCCTTACTTCACTTACATCATCATTCTTTTTTTCATTTTTACCCCCTTGCTGTTGGCTACTATTCTAGTCAACGGTGTATCATGTAGATACCCTTCTTATTCTATTCACTTCTTAATTGGACATGTCTAATAGTATATATGCTTATCTTTTCTATTCCATTTATATCCTTCAGATTACACAACCTGTTCTCAGATACATACATGCATACATGCATAATACATAATCCCACCAGTTCTAACCCTCTTAAGATAGTAAACTCTCACCTCCACAGGTAGTAATCAACCGGTAGATAGATAGATAGATAGAGAGATATACAGAAGTAATCAATGAATCATCCACTCCAAAACATCCCTCCCCGCTAACGCCATCACCTCATAATACCCACCACCACCATTACCAACGACCTTACTAACTCTCAACTCATCCACATCCACAGATACATTATCCAACAAGAACGACCAAGGCGGGATATTATTCCCCTCCTCCGACGGAAGGCAAATAGAAGAATGCTGTTTCTCTTGTCGTTGGTCTGTGTTCATAGCAGAAGAATCATCGTTCTTATCGTCGTCGACTGTGTGGCTGGTATACACGGACCTACACTCCTCAATGCAGTATACGTATATCCCCCCTCTACCTACTTCCTTGGGGGAAGGGTCAGGTTCGTAGATAGCTAGGAGCTTATTATCTGGGGAGATGGAGAGGAGGGGGGTTTTGGAGGATGCGGTGGGGAGGTTGAGGGGGTTCCAGCAGGGGATTCCTGTTGTTGCTGTAGAGGATTCGGGGGGTGATGATATTGTTTTGGGATCGGTAACTGGATCTGAGGTCGTGGTGTGGTGGTGATGTTGGCGGGAAGGGAGGAGACGGGTGATGGTTACTTGTTGAGAGGTGGGAGGGGAGGAGGAGATAGCGATGTGGCCGATGCAGTAGGCGGATGTGGGGCCTGATTGGAGGGAGGCGGTGAAGTAGTGCGTTGATGTTGATCGTGATAGAGGGGTCTGGGGTAGTATTGTGGTGGTCGGGTTGTAAGAAGATAGAAGAAGGCGCAAGCCTCGAAGGACGACTTTTTCTTCGCCTGCGCCTAGAGTCACGGCCATGGAAGCGGAGTCGAGGTGGATGTGGTGGATGTTTTCGCGCCAGTATTGGAGGGGGGTGTGAGTTTGAGTCTGATGGTGGTGTTGGAGGGCGAAGGGATTACCCATGTAGCGCACGCGGTTTGGTTGGAAGGTTGTTGTGTCTTGGTGGATTGCGATGCGGAGGAGAGTGGCGTCGTCGGTGAATTCGAGGGATTCGATGACTCCGTCGGTTTCTTCGTAACCTGTGCTTGGGGATGCTGCGTAGATGACGTCGTGCTGGTCCAGGGTGTATTCTGCTGGGGAGGAAATGCCGTTTTCCTCGTTCCCTGAGAGGCTGTAGATTTGGAGGGTCTTGCCTAGGCCGACGGCGAGGAGGTCGCCTTGGGAGGAGATGGCGATGCAGTGTTTGGCGTAGCGTGGGTTGAGAGCCATGCCGCTGCCTGCGCTGCCTCCGTCCATTAGGGCTCGGTAGACTGAGGTCCAGAGGGGGTAGAGTGTTGAGGCTTGGGTGTATTCCCATGGAGAATTTTTGTTTGGACGGGTGAATATTGTGGCGCGTGCGCCTTTCAGAGTGGCCATTTTTTGACCATCTTGGGATGTTGCTAGTACTGTGGTAGGGGTGCAGTCCTCAGGTAGGGCACGTCTGGAGGCGGCTTTGTCGATGTGGGTCCGGTGGCCTAGTAGGTTCAGACAGGCGATTTGGCAGAAGTATGTGTTCCATTCTTCGTTTGTGAGAGAATCGGCACGTGGGGGGATTGGCACGGGGAGTTCGGTCAGTGCGTTCCGGATGGTAGACGACATTGATGCTGCTTTTCGCCATGAGCAACATGCTGAGCGGGCAGCGACGTATGTCTCGATATCCACATGATCGAGGATGCAGAGGATGAGCTCGATTGGGAGGTTGGCGGCCATGATTGAGTTGGTAGCAGACATTGTGTGTAGCTAAATCTCATGTCTATCAGGTGACGGATGTCTGTAGACAGGAGACTATGTAGTATGGCTAGGAAGCTAGTGGGAGGCCAGTTTTATACGGAAGAATGAGCGGCAATAAGTCAAGCTCCTGGCAGACCAGGCCCAGGGCCGGTCATACCGAATGGTGTGGATCGACATCCAGGGCTGTGAGGGCAACCAGCCTGCTCTTGTGTAACGTCAACAAATGCCAGTCGACGAGAGAAGCAATTACTGGTGCAAACTAGCGCGTCATGCTGGTGGATGTGCTGGTGGTGTATACCGCATGTGTCAAGAGATGGCATGCGAGAAAGCCAATTATCGACTCGGCAATAGCCCCATAGGTTGAGACGGGCCGAGCGGAGCCAGGAAACCGAGATGGAATGCTGAACATTCCTTGCTCTCGAACAACCTTAAGGGCCGGCAATGACGGAGAGTAGCCCTGGCTGCATCGCATCAGTGGCGTGATGTGATGCCGGTCTTCCATCGGATGATTCTCGGCGGTGGTCTTACCGCAAAAAAGGTACCGGTTGCACCAAATGAATATCCTGATTGATCTGCAGACTTTCTTTTTTCCAACTTCCCTTCAACCCGCGGATAATTGGAGTTGACACCTGTGTCACATTCATCTAATCTTTCCGCTTAATTCTCGTATACCTAGAGAAAGCCCTTTCTGTAGGGCCGGTGACAAATAATGTACAATATAGTAGTGAAATGCGCCGAGCGGAATGACCTAAAATCCCCAAAGCTTTAAGTGGAGAAAGAGGAATCTTCCACCGCGCAGTACAAGGTACTCGACACGGTGGGCATCAACTGCCTACTGGCACCAGCACTGTAAAAGGCGTCATCAACATCATTACTTAGGCTCCAGATCAGGCCTTGTGCTCATGACACCGGAAAATTCTCGGTCGGCGTCAGAAGCCTGTCATACCATGCCGGAAATGAGATGTGCGGGAACAGCCTGTTATCATCTGGAAGCCTGACAGCTGGTGTGGAGCCACCCATCCTTGCTAAAAGAAATAAGGCCGGAGGCAAATTCGGACCTAACGCAACCCAAAATAGACCTTCTGGTGAACCGCCAGCTCACAGCAAAATGTTCTTCTCCCGTTTATACAAATCCTTGAGGAGCTTGAGTTGGTTAACGCTCATGCTCTGCCGGGGCAAGCTGTCGGGCAATTCGACGATAGCCTTCCTCATCAGCGCCAGTCCGATATGCCCGAAGAAACCAACAATTCTTTCGGCCGACGATTTCAGCATAGCCGAAAGGAGGGTAACATGGGTATCCTGGATCTCTGCCGGCGGAATATTCAGGATTTTGTGCATGGTATACCAAAACATGGTGTTGGGGAAAGGGTTCTTGCGCGCGGTTTTGCCAAAATTGCGCAGGGTCAAGGCCGCATAACCCGCGCCTAGAGCTGTCATTCGGTCAGCGTGGGCCTGTTCGCTGATGTACGGCCCGTCCGGCCCTTCGCGCCACCAACCCAGGGCACGGCGGCCACCCTCGGTCTTCTCACTGCCATGGAATCCCCACAGCGCTGGGCAAACGACACGGTACTTGGCCAATAGAATGTCGACCATGTGGCAGCCCTTGTAGATGAAGGCATCGGCGGAGAATATCTGGGCCGCGACAATCCCGACCGGCTCCGCATGGCCCAGGTTGATGGACGCCTCCGTGATGAGGGAAGAAATCATGCACTTGGAAAAGATGTTCAAGGCGTAAATTAAAAGGGCAGGCACCTTGTTATCGTCGGAATTGGCAATATTCTCGGGCGGGAAAGCGATGAACTGGCGAACATCCACCGACGGTTCAGCAATGGAGGCAGCTTTCTCCAGCGTAGTTCGAATCTCTTGAAGCTATGTGGAAGTAAGCAAGGTTAGCTGGCTGTCTTCTTCTATCCATCAGACGCAAAGCAAAACACTTACCTGGGTTTTGTTCGCTCCCTTGCCTTCACGTAGTTGTCCAACACACTTCTTGATCGTTCGCCGCATATCGCCCATGTTCTGCTTGACAATGGCATTGGTTTTCGCTTCGTTCTTCAAGTATTGCCGGAATTTCTTAAGATGTTGATGTAATTCCACGTAGCGGGCCTGGATCTTGATTTCTTCGTCCGTAAGACGGGCGCCTCCAACCTGCCGCTGTCGCTCCGCCTGTGCCTTCTGTGCGGCTTCCGCTTGGCGTTGGGAGGCCTCCTGCTCTGCCTTCCGTGTCTCCTCCTGACGCTTGCGGTTCTCTTCCTCTAATCGCTCTCGTTCTTTCCGCGCCTCTTCTTCCTGCGCCGCTTTCTTCTTCCTCTCCGCCTCTTCCTCCGCCTTCTTCTTTGCTTCCTCGGCTGCTCTGCGCTCAGCTTCACGCCGTGCAGTCTCCTCCTGCTCTCGCCGTAGTTTCTCTGCCTTCTCTCGTTCTATGCGTTCCGCTTCTTTCCGTGCCTCCTCCTCTCTTCGACGGAGCTCCTCCTCTACCGCTCTCTGGTGTGCGCGCAACGTCTCCTCGGCCTCCACCAGTACGCGATCATGCAGAGCGGCAGCTTTGTCAAGGGCCGCATTGTGCTGGGCCTCAAGTTCGCTATCGATTCGGTCAAGATTCTCATAAAAGGATCGGCGTTCGTAGGCTTTGACCTTCTTCAACTCGGTGTTGTGCATGCGGAGCTGTTCAAGGTCCCGTGCTAAATCCAGGACGAGTTGCCTGGAGGGGCTGTCCATCTGGGAGGGGTAGCTCATGTGTCCCATCGTGATTGTTCGGAAAAGAAAATTCGTTGAGAGAATGATGATATCGTCGCAGCTAAAAGAGTGACGTATTCGGGCTGAAATGATGACAGTCCTTGCCGCCGAGGTTGGCCAATTCTTCAGAAGCAAGTTAACACTTCCAACTGACCATAATTCGCATTGAACAAGTCGGAGTGATGTGACAGATATGTGCCAATGTAAGCCGGCGAGTTGTCTTCACGATTTGTTGGGAGTCGCAGTGGACGTAACCATATCCTATTTCGCATACAATTGAGAGCCAGTAACGTGGGTGTAGCTGGCGATAAGCTAATGTCGCATTCCGTCGCAGGGGAAAAAAGGTAAATCGAATGTGAGTCACGTAGAATGATCGTTGTCTGTGCTGGCTCTGCAGGGTCGCAAAAAGACTAGCTCAGCAATTCCGCGCTTCACACGCAAGGGAAATAGTTGCATGGGAATTCCGGACTCACCAACAGTCGAAGAGAAGGAGGATAAAGGCGGCAATATAAGCCCGCAGACTCCGAGGAGCACTAACTGGATAGAAAAGACCTTAGGGAGTGTGATCAAACAGAAAAGGCAACTGTCGGAGGCGGCAGCGAGGGATTGGACTAAGAGGAGCCTATCTGGAGACGATGGCTGGTATGCGATCTTCAAAACGGAGCGAACGTGTGTTGCGGGAAGAACACGGCCGCCGGGGCTTAGTCATTCGGATAGCTGTATCTACAGTTGTGGCCTGAGAAACTAGGCGTCCTAGTGCCGAACCCCCCAATGGGCCGGAGAGAAGCAGCGCTTACACAAGTACCACATTTACGGTACAACGGGGCAGCTACTGCACCAAACCGACCAGCTAAACATGGATCGCTCGGTCACCCGTTCCTCGGTCGGAGGGGAAAGCCTGGAGGCCGGTCAGCCCTTTTTCTTTTGCATCATCATCATCGTCATCATCATCATGATCACCCAACACTCATTGCCTCCAGGACAGGCTTGGACAAGAGTATCTGAGACATCGCTTAACTCGTTTTCTCATTTTCCCTTCACTGACCGACATGTCAGTTCTCCTTAAACTTGGCCCTCAACACCTCCGTATTAATCTGTCTCTCACACCCCAATAGCATTTCGCCCACCTCGGCCAACCCTTTGATACACGGTCTCGACAAGAGCCCCGCCAAAAGCCGGCCGTGGATCCAATAGCGGGCCACTATTGGACCGGTCGCATCATCAAGGAGGGTATCGATACCATTTGCATACGTATCATACCCTGCACCAACAGAGCCACTCAGCAGTATCTATCTAGTATCTACTACTGCTATCTCCAGCACTGTACAGAGTAGAAACCAACTCTCCCAGGATTTATTGCCATCAGTGCCAGTTTCCTGCATATAGTAGATGTTGTGCACTTGCTTTCCCGATCGACTATGGACTTTTTGGAGCCACGACATACTTAGAATAGCATGCAGGTCGCCATCGAAAGCCAATAGGCAGGCCAGGTGGGTATCGCATAGCAGAAAGTTTCCATACAGCGATCGTACACTAAGATAGTAAGTTGGTAAGTACTCCAGTTACTTACTTACTTAGTCGAGAAGCTCCACGGCGTCTTACCGCCTTCTACCTTTCTCCGGAGTTGATCTTCCAGCCAGCCGTTGACCACGCAGTTCGTCATTGACAATGCCGAAAGATTGAGGGGTGATCTTCATATGGTAAAGACCTTAGGACATATTGAGCTCAGTTGCTTCTTCCGTAGGTCTGGAGACCAAGCGTCGGATTGATAAATGCGAAACAAAGCCTATTGAAAAGGTCTTGCAGTCGGACTGACAGGCTTGGGAGCCAAGCTGCAATGAAATTCCCCCGAGCCAGACCCTGTTGGTCTCCAAGTATGGTAACTTTGGTTTAGTGACAAGTTTAATGCACCATTCCCTCGGATTGCTTTTTGCCTTGAAGCTCCCCTGGGGCGGGAAGTGTGTCATTCATTGACGATGTTGAATGATCAGGTCAGATTTGGGTAATACCATGTACTTGTAGCGATGCAATAGCAAGGGGATACCTTTCCAAGCGGCAATTATCTAGTCGGTCTGGAAATTTTGTGCGGTTTTTTTCCCTGATGTTCTTCTGCTTCTCTCCCCACATCTCTAGTTAGTAGTTTACTCCTAGGGTAGGTTGCTGCTATATTATTGTTGTACTTGGCTTCGTATTGGCTGAATGTTCATTTTGCTTTGGGCCTATTAATTGTGAGTATTATATTAGGTATTGTTTTTTATTTTACTTTTCTGGGACTGAGTAAGTATTATTACCCTGCTACGAGCTACTGAGTTACTACTGGATGCTTGCTGCACTGCTGCTGCTGCTCACCACTCTCACTGCTGCTGCTACTAATAGTAGACTAACTCAACTTCTGTTTCTTGTCTCTCTCTCTCTCCCTCCACTTCCTCTTCCTCTTTACCTTCACCTCATCCTCTTTCTTCTCTCTTCCTTCCCCTCCCCTCTTCCCTTATCTCTTCTTCTTTCTTCACCATCCCTCTCCTTTGGAATTAATCTTTCTCTCCCCCCTCCCTCTTTCCTCTCGTCGCTCCTGATCATTCCTTCAGGTCGACGATCACGCCTCCTTGTCTCAATCACTTGGCTTATCTGTCATTCTCTCTCTGTCAGATATCGCTTTGCCTGGTGTGTCCTTTTTGGAACTACCACGTCCAAGAGAATCGTATCAGTAATTCTCTGGTGGGAGAAACTATTATTGTGTTCTCCTTTCCGTTTTTTTTCAGAATTAAGCGCCAACTCAATAAGCCTTTTTTTTTACAATTCAGGACTGAGTTGCCCCCCCTTTTCTGCTACTGAGGAGACTCCGTTCTCTTCCGTACCATCAAAATCCCACTTTGGCCAAAAAAAGCCCACCCATCGTTGGAAAATTTGCAAATAAAGTCGAACCAAAAAAATTATTCTGTCTATACCTGTCGAGAAATTCTACCCAGAAAAAAAATTTGCAGAAGGGAATCGAGAAAAGGTCCCTCCTTTTGACTTGAAGCTTGGGGATTCTCCGCTGGTGGTCGCTTGACGAATGGCAGTTGGGGACGACCGACAGCTCCCATCCGCTTAGTACTCGGTGCTTGCCCCCCCCCCTCCCTCTTCCCTCCTAAACCTCAGCTTCCCCCCCGATTCGTCGAGCTTCATCCTCTCTTTCGGTCTCTGCTGTCTCCCGGAGACTGTCGCCAGTTCCTCCCTCCGGTGTCCATTCATCGCAATTTTGCTTTCTGTTTGAATATATTGCTTTGGCTTCCTTGAATTTGGGGTCCCTCATCCCCATTCCTGTGAGACTACCTTCGGTCACCGCTGTCTTTCGCCATATAAACGGGGATTTTCCCTCTCCCGTGCCAAAGAAGAAGTCCGACAAAGAGTATCTTCAGATCCCTTCCTGAGCTGGACGATCGTTTATTCCTCGAAGAAAAGAGGTAAGAGCAATTGAAGATACACACCTTCCCATCCTCAATCTTCGTGGGTCTCCTGATCCTGGTACTCTCCCTATTGCCTCCCCGCCATTTGCCTCGCTTCCTTCCATTTTGTACCTTGGTTGATGTCACTTGTTGTATGGGGTAAATCGCAGCTTCCCTTGCCCACAACATTCCCCTCCCGCTCTTCTTCCCGTAGCCACCCCCACGATGTCTTGAACCCCCCTCTTATCTTCTCCTCTTGTTCTCGACCCCTCGCTGCTTACTTTTTGTCCGTTTCACCCTTACTGACCTATCGTTCTCCTTCAGTATACTGCAAGTTCACCTCTCGTTGTTTCAGACTGCCTCCGATCGGCCTCCCTAAATCGCAACCCACGACGAGTGTGACTTCCGTCATTTCCAACATTCTCTAATCACCCCCCGAAGCGGACCTTTTTGATCCCATACACTTGCCCGTATACCTAATACCCGTCGATCTTACGTCTGAAAAGATGGATCAGCAGGGTCAATCCGGGGTTCCCGGCCCCGCGGGGCGCAAGCTCCATATCGCCCACAGAAGAAGTCCGTCTGAATTGACTCCTCTCATGAGTAAGTGAATGCCAGCCCCATTCTCGTGTAACATAGTTTTTGTGAATGAAGTACTGACGATGGTGGATACAGTGGAGCAACTCGCTATTCAGCAACAGATTGAGCTTCTTCAACAGCAACAGCAGCAAATTGCAGCTACACATCAACAGTACGTCAATATGGGTCTGTTACAACCGCAACAGCTAGGCCAGGTTTCGGCATTCTCGCCTTCTCTTCAGGGTGGCGCTTCCATGGGAGGCGTCTCCCCTCAGTTGAATGCATTCCAATTCCCACAACTCGCTCAACAGCAGCTTGGCGTGCCGATGAACACCTCAACCCAACACTCGCACCGGCGCAATCAGTCTGCCCTGCCGGGTCTCGGCATGGGTCCCCCTCCCGCCCCGTCCTCGGGAGCTTCGGGCTATACCGACTACAGCCAGCAGCAACAGGGTCATCAACCCAAGAATGAGAACGGAGGCCATGGGCGCGGACGAGGTGGTCCTCCCGGTGGTGGCCACCAGCGCCGTCACTCGCTTGCGCTTCCTGAAGCCAAAAAGGCCGCTGAACTGGCCCAGCAGAAGCGGACGGCCTCCGGCTTCCAGTTCCCCGCACCCAGCACCCCTGGCGACTCTGATACCACTCCGGGCGCTGACGATAAATCCACCCCCACCTCGCAGACCCCACAAGGCTTGGGCCTTCACCGAGCCGGTAACATTCGGGCGGGTGGCCATGGTCGCAGTCAATCCATGGCTGTTGGTGGAAACCGTGGCTCTTTGTCTGGTCGCGGTGCTGGCGGCTTCCAATTCCCTCAAGCTAGCGACGGCGAGAATCAACGTCGTGGCAGCCAGCCCGGTCACGCACGGTCTTCGTCCAGAAACTTTGATGGTAACTGGCGGCAGCCCAACAATCAAGCTCAGGGCCAGGACCAGCCCAAGGGCTTCGGCCAACAGAGCGGGGGTTTCCAGCCTGGCCACCGTGCCCGTGCTTCAATGAACCAGTCCA